TTGTGTTTCAATCTGCCTGATGTTCTTGCCCTCATATGCTGAATTTGATATTCCTTACCCAAGTTAACAACTAAGTGCGCTGAAATTGTCTACAACCGTTCAAAAATGAAAACTTCTGGTGTAAGATTGTATCTTTGTCTGGTGTGTTCATATATCTGGTCTATTCTCGAGGTGTGATTTCGTGTCTGTCTTATTCTTTTCTTCACCTTCAGGCTGTTTTGTTGATCGGTGAGCAGGGCACGGCCAAGACCGTGATGATCAAGGGCTACATGTCCAAGTACAACCCCGACGTACACATGAGCAAGAGTTTCAACTTCTCGTCGGCCACCACCCCTATGATGTTCCAGGTAACTCTTCCCGTCTGATTGACCATTAAGAAGAGGTACATGTATGAGGAGGATGGAATAGACGAACGCATCACTCTGGGGAGGTACCAACTTGATCAAGTGGATGACCTGATCAGCCTTGGGACAACAGTTGGTTCTTGTTGATGGGCTTGCGATAAACCTCACGGAGTGATTTAGTGAAAAAGGATCCCTAGGCATGAGCCTGTGGTGTGCTTGCCTTCGTGAGTAGTTCAGGCGTACAGGATCGTAGCTTGAAATGTTTAAGGATCTGCTGTTTTGAGATGGGACAGCTGAGCCGATGTAATGTCATCGGAAGGATGAGAAGCGGACATATACAGGTCAACTTGAGTATGTGCATATACGTGTATGCGTGCTACAAATGTAGAAACAGGAGATTAAAGACAGTACTGTATTTCAGTGTTTTCCGAGCTTTTTTTCTCTCAGTACTTTGAAATTGGCATATCATGCAGGAAAGTTTGTGCTCTCCAGCAAATCTCATTTTTGCCCCAAGTGTTGGCCAGCGATTTGGGATGCTGGCTAGCACCAGCCAGTGCCAGTCAGCATCGCTGCAACTCTGCTCGCATGTACTGTTTGCCTTTTGAGAAGGATTCCGTGAGGAATGAAAATGTCAGTCAGACCCTGACAACCTTAGCAGGTTGTAGTTCAGGTCAGACCAAGTGGTCAACAATTTATGAAGGTAGAATATCTTGTTCTTATTGATACTTCCCCATGCAGCGGACCATTGAGAGTTATGTAGACAAGCGCATGGGCAGCACCTTCGGGCCCCCAGCCGGCCGCAAGATGACCGTCTTCGTGGACGACGTCAACATGCCCATCATCAACGAGTGGGGGGACCAGGTGACCAATGAGATTGTGCGGCAGATGATGGAGATGAAGGGCATGTACAGCCTGGAGAAGCCCGGCGACTTCACCAACATCGTGGACGTGCAGTTCATTGCCGCCATGATCCAGCCGGGAGGCGGCCGCAACGACATCCCCGAGAGGCTCAAGAGGCAGTTCTGCATCTTCAACTGCACCCTGCCCTCCAACATGTCCATCGACAAGATCTTTGGTCAGTGGAGAATCACTCCTTCTTGTCCTTTTTCTTCGGGGAGGGTCCAAGATCTTAGGAGAAGGCATAATCTCAATATGTTTCTTAATGAGAAAAAAATTCAAATGCATCCCACCTCCCAACGTGTCCATTGACAAGATCTTAGGTCAGCGAAGAATGACTTCTTATCGTTCAACTTTTTGGGAGTTCCAAGTTCTGAGGAGCATTACAAATCTCAGTATACCTGCGTATAAGGAAATTCTTGAAATGCATCCCGCCATCAAACCTGTCCATTGTTATTAGTTCTGAGGAGCTGCACAAATTTCAGTATCTTATCGATGAGGATTTTTTTTTTCAAAAGGAGGAAATTGTCAACAACACTAAAAAATAATATTAAAGTTATATTCAAATTGTGCTCCATGTCAGCCAGACACCTCAAAGTGCTGTATAATGTTAAAGCAGTCACATGTAGCAATTAACAACCAGTCAACAACCAATTAACATTTATTGGAAATCCAGTCCACCGTCAAGTAATGAAAATGCGTGTCGACACATCCCCCCAGTAAACTGTAAGGGATGTTTTGGCTGTTTGCCTCTCATCTTTCTCTGCACTGCAGAGCTTTAAGGGACGAGCCACAGTATGAGTTATTTTAGGCAACACTGCAGTCTGTCACACAGTTGAGATTGTAATTAAATGTCCTTCAAACTATTTTGTCCTTCATAAAGAAACTTCCTCACGAAATTGCATCTGTTACGTTGTTTGAAATTTCAACACTGAGGAGCTTGCCATTGACAAATATTAATCTTGGCCTAAACGTTATATATTTCCTTTACACTGGTACCTTTGAACCATTCACTTGGTGCTACATGTAGAATGGTACCTCTCATGTGAATGCTCATAACTGAGGTGGATGTGCATTATGTGAAGAAAATGTCGCGAAAGTCAGGAATGTTGTCATTCTGTTTGGCACTCTTCCATTGTGACAACTGAATGTTTTATGCAAAGATCATCTTGAATCATTGTTCCAAGGCGAACAAGATGCTTTGTTCCAAGGCGAACAACATGCTTGCAGTAGAAAGGCCACTTGAGGCATTCCGAATGGAATATTCTGACCCTTCTGAATCATAAGATGATCCCCAAATTAAGACAGAGGGAGCCATTTAACTTATTGTAGAAATGTCACATTGCTCCTATTTTGTGCTGCCAATCTATTCCATTTTCATACACGTTTTAACGTGTTCAAAATGACAATCCTCGCTGCAGGCATCATTGGTTGTGGCTATTTCTGCTCCACCCGTTTCAATGAGGAGGTTGTGGAGATTGCCAAGGAGCTGGTGCCGGTCACTCGTAAAGTCTGGCAAGCCACTAAGGTATGTACAAATTGTTCAAGCTGACATTCCAATAGAACATTGTGGTCCGTTTTGAGTCTGTTGCACTTAAAAGTATCCAATAGATCAGATAAATTATCTGACAGATTCAACAGACCAAAAAACGTTCACCTGTTGTATGAAACTTTAGCTGAAGGCTTTACCCTTTACGAGACCAAAACTCCATTGATAGAATTATAACAATTATATCTTAGATGAGCATTGAAGCATTTCGTAGCAAGTAAGTCATATAGTTTGTGCTAGCACCATGCGACGACATCTCTTTCTGAGTATGTGTGGTTCTGAAAAGAACCGAACGTCGTCAGACTGCCAGTTTGTGCAAATTGTCCTGCTTGCTGGGTTTTTTTGGCATTTTTTCTATAACTGGTCCTGTCTGCACCGTGGTCGGCTGGTCTGGAATAGTTGACTAGACTAGTCCAATCATCCTCGACTAGCATGAGTTCGATGAGAGTTAGTGGAACTATGGTTAACCATGGTCCTTGATCTAACTTGCCTACGCCGAATAGTGGTTTCTTGATATTGTGACAAAGCAATGGATGATGTGAAGTGTGCACTATTCACTGAAACTGCTTGTGGAAAATGTACCAATGAATATTATAAAGAGAATAAATAGGTGCTTGGCCGGTCTTAAACGTGGGTTTGAGACCGGCTCAGGAGAATGGACGCGACTAATTCCCAAGCTGCAGGTGAGGGCATTATCAGTGTTCGTTCTTCAGAGCAAGGTCTTAATGTTGGTTTAAGACCAGCCTAGCACATATTCATTCCCATTCACAAATACCTTTTACTCAGAGAGTCAAAAGAAGTCAACATATGATGGACTTCCAACGATATTGTTCTAAAATTTTACTTTCATTTTCCTGAACATCCCCGTCCATTTAATGGTATATTCCTATTGAAAGTTGTCCAATAGAATCTCCTTGTTTATGGACCTGGCACACGCTCTGCGTGTTGCGTCACACGCAGACTCATGACCATTAGGGATAGAGTAAACTGTCTGGTATCCAGACACCAGCGCGTTTTTATGCAGCAGGTATTATCAGATGTTAATACACGGTCAAGTTGCGCAGGGAGACTGGCTTGAGGTATTTATGAATAGACGATAAAGCCAATTACAGCTAAATGTATATGTTCAGTTCGATTGAAGGGCTACATGTTGTATGGCAAAACTAACCACCGTTACTCAACTGCTTACTTTATTTCATCGCTTTGTGCCTATAATTATACTTACCATTAAAAAAAAACGTAGTATGCTTTAACAGAAAATAGCAATGGAGGTATGTGCACCTGTATTACAGTTTAAGATGAAGAGGTGCTGGACACCTACAAAAAAAGCAAAACTTTAGAAGTGCGGGTCCCCTGATGAGATACATGTACAAAAAGATCAAAACCTTTCTGTAGTGACATATACAAGAAATAACAGGGCTCACAATATAGAAATGATATTCTGTTTAAAGCAGTGCTAAAGCAGAACAAGATAAAGAGATCAACTGAATAACTGTGTTGATGTTATTTATTCCAACATTGCATGACAGTTGCATTTCTCTTGAAGCATAGAGTGTTTGAGTTGTCTCTTGTTCCCAATTCTTTCCAGGTGAAAATGCTGCCCACCCCAGCCAAGTTCCACTACATCTTCAACCTGCGGGACTTGTCTCGCATCTGGGAGGGCATGCTGCACATCATGGGCGATGAGTGTCAAGATGCTACAACCCTGCTGGCTCTGTGGCATCACGAATGCACCAGAGTGATTGCTGACAGGTACTGATGTGTGGCCCACATTGCAGGCTCGTTATTTTTTTTCTTGGTCGCTTCGTCAGCAAGGTTGAAAAACTTGTCCTATTGTAGATAGTTTTAGTACAAGGTGCCTCTTATTGCATGGTCATGTTCCAATCAGCCATAATAATTCAGCTACCTGTGATCGAACATGCTCGTCTAGATGATAGTTGAGCTAGTCCAGTTCATTGTTGGGGACCAGCCAACAAAGTTGGTTTGACCACCGGGTAGTCACTAGAGGCTCTTTCCTCACCTTTGACCTCTGCGGCCCGGGTTCGAATCTCACCTAAGTCAGCATTAGTTTATCAGTCCCTACCTGATTCCATGGGATTTTCCTGGTATATGTATCGGAGGGATTTTCCTCTAACCTCCAAAACGGAACATTTCTTCACTGTTACAGTCCTCCTGTAATTGGTGCTGAATGATCTGTTGGATGAACAGAAATCAATAAACTGTTTAATGATCTCTGTGTATCAATATGCAATGGCAGTGCGATGCTGGTCCAGTGGCTGTAGTCAAACTAGTTTGCCAAACCCATTGCTACTCACCTTTTTGCCATCAATTGGTTGTGTTTCTCATGTTGTTCGTTGTCCCTGCCATTTACTGCAATCATCTTCATGTCATTGGTTTCCTTTATTTTTAACCAATTCCTGCCGGGTATTCCGGTACCGGACACGTATGCTTTATATGTGTGGCCGGGGTCTCCGAACTCGGACAAAGGGAACTGGGCCTTGTAACAAAAGACCGTACTCTGAACAAAAGACCAGGCTGCTGGGCATTACCAACATTTTTTCACTCTCAAAAGTGAAGATAATCCTTGTTTTGAAACAGTGTACTAGGGTTTGGGGCATTTAGAGCAAGCGGACTACCACCGGGGACAAAAGTGCTCCACTACCGCAGCAATGAGCCACACAGCACCGCTGCACGCTAATCTGGCCCCTATTGAAAAGAGGTCAGCAGTGCACTGTGCCAGGTTTGTGAACAAAAGAAAGTTACATAACACCGCACAATCTGGGCTCTTTTTACAAGGCTGCAGGCCTGGCTGAAATTCTCGGGCGTCAATAGATTTTGTCTGTCAGGCTAGAGTAGCGACCAGACAGTCCTTCGTGTGGGTGTAAGTGTCCAGTAAATGAAGATAGGAATTTTTAAAGACTTTTGAAACCTGTCCTTGTTCTGTAAACTCTCATAAAAAGATGAGGTCTATAACCTGATACGACTGAGCCAGGATGAGTGATATCCATGGTACACTTCTATCCTGTCGACACTACTTAGATTTACTAATGCTGAAGACAAGCAGTGGTTTGAGACGGCCATCAGACGCATCGCCAAGGATGAAATGGGCGAGGAGCTGGCCAAAGTCATCCCGGAGGAGCCGTACTTCGTCGACTTCCTGCGAGACCCTCCTGAACCCACCGGAGACGAACCTGATGATGCTGTACTGGAAGCGCCCAAGATATACGAACTGGTAATGCTCTTTGAAAATCGGGCTGTGTCCAAATGTTGTGGCTGTGCTAGGAATCACAAATGTGCCAATGAAAGCCACTGGCACAACCAAGTAATTTGGACATGGTCTTTGGCTTATTCCTTTTGCCTCCTCAGAATAAAGCGGCAAAGTCTGTTTTTGGCCAACTGTCAGGAACTTGGTCCATTTGAAATGAGAAAAAAGGAACCTTATAAGAGGAGTTATTTCTTGTCTTGCAAAGTACAGCAAGGACCTTTCCTTATCCTTTAGATCTCTTATTTTAGATGGTCCATGAACCATGAACACACAAAAGCATGCATAGTCCTGAAACAAAAGGATGCGCAATCACTTGCCTTGTAACATAAAAGTTGTACACTTTGTGTGCTGACAGATGTTACACATCTATACCCTATTTGGAAATCAGACTTGTATGTATCCATTGGTGCTATTCCTGTGACACTTTCATATGTGCCTTCCGTTGCTGATAAATTGAAGTGGAGGAAAGATAGACGGAAGGGGCGTAAAACAGAAGGGGAGGAATATTAATCAGGTTTTAAATATGTGTCACATGCTGCTCCAAATAAAAGTCACCGTCATTGCAATCATTTATCGTCATTACAGGTTCCCAGCCTAGAGTTTCTGGCGGACAAGCTTCAGCAGTACATGGCGCAGTACAATGACACGGTGCGGGGGGCTCACATGGACCTGGTCTTCTTCAAGGATGCCATGACGCACCTCATCAAGGTACCAGCAAGCAGATTTCTTAAAGGACTGTAAATTGTGGCTCATAAAGATTTAACAGTGATATCATAAATTACTTGACTTTTATTTCATTCAATGTCAATTTGTAACCTTTACCAGTTCTTAAATTACAAAGACCCAAGCAAAAGAAATACTTTTTTATTGTGTGTTTCTCTGAGCCGTGATAAGCAGCAGTTTAGTACTTTTGAAGTACTTTATTACTCATAACTCTTTATAGAGGTTTTGCATGGCAGCCATCTTTCAGGTCAGTGCTTTTGCTCCATAGGGATACACCTGAGTATACATTTGTGCATAATTATAGCTCCATTAGAACAGTTTTAACCTGAAAGATGGCTACCGCTGAAAACCTCTTCAAGTGCGTCACCAGTTCACCAGTCTTAATGCGAGCCACAAGCTATTTGTAAGGAACTTTAACAAAGATGTTCTCTTTATGATGCTTACCGACAATTAGTGGTGACGACGCTTGTACAAGTACTTAAGATAACTAGTGATAAATACTTGTGAAGTACTTTGTGGTTCACCTGACTGCAGCACAGTTCCTCAGTATCTTTCTGTTTGTTTGTTATTTGCAGATATCCCGTGTGATTCGTACCCCAGTGGGCAACTTATTGCTGGTTGGTGTGGGTGGTTCTGGCAAGCAGAGCCTCACCAGACTGGCCTCGTTCATTGCCGGGTACAAAATCTTCCAGATTACACTCACCAGGTATGTCATATAAGCATACTCGCCCTTGAAACCCGTCGTAGTTCTTTTTTTGCGTAAGTTGTTTTTATTTTCGTCATAGTTTTCTGGTTTATTTGTCTCCCTTTGAGTTGAAAAGAGGAGCCATTCAAAGCCAAGTGCATATTTACTGGTTCTGATTGTTTCTCGACTGATGTTTTCAGAGCGTTTGGATTTAATGAGCTGTTTTCACAAAGAAATGGGTCATTATTTTAGTGTTGTTTGTTTTCTCCCAGAATGCTCGCATGCCAGTGTTACACAGTGTTCTGCGTATAGCTTACAAAATATTTCCTTTGAAGTTATTCCAGCCTAAAATCTCTGGGGTTAGGACTTGACTTTTTCTTGTCTTTCAAAGTGAAATTGGAAATTCATGCAAGGTGACGTTGATGGTTTCCTGTTGGCAATTTTCATGCAGAGTTGTCTCATCTGCTTGTATTTCTTTTGTTCAAATATGTCAGTTCCTTAACCCTTAACCCCCTGGGTGTATGTAAAATCATATTGACATTGGAGGATTTGGAACTGTTAGGGTTAATCTGGTTCATATGTGACTTCATCATGCATGTACATGTGCACCTACCACTGACTACAAGCTCAAGTTAGGTGTCTAAGTTCAGGACCAGTGGTTCCTGGAGCGTCTTGAATGGGCGTGGTTTAAACTGAAATGGTGTCACACTTATGACCCTGACAGGCCCGTGTACTCATGCTGTCACATCCTGTCTTCACATGAAAACAATTTTAAAGCTTCCTAGGAAAGGTATGCATGTGAACAAAGTGTGATGTCATCGGTACATACGTGTAAGGCTGTTTGTTTCTGAAATTTGTTTCCTTGTTGCATTCCCAAAATGAATTGTATTGTTTTTTTTAATGTTAAAATAACCTTTTTTTCTAACTTTTGTTATCAAATCTAACATTTTGATCACAGCATAATCACGCAGTTGAAGTTACTGATTCCTGTTTTCATAACAATGGTAAGCACGCTTTCTTCAAAATTTCACTTTTGAATTGTTAATGGAAATGTGTGATTGTTACGTTTGATGAAGTCAGATTCTTTTTGTGGAGGCTGGTTGATTTTGTCGAAAAAAAGCTTGATATTTTCTAAAACATACCAAAATCACATGTCATTATCTGTTAAACTTTGTTGTGTGTAAATTGTTGAACCACAAGCAAATTGTCTTTTATGTCCATGTGGTTAACCACTCGCTAATAGTATTGTTCCATTATGAACTGGTGCCGGGCTGGCATTGTTTTCGGCCGAAACAACCGACTTTCAACATGACAAGACACTACAGCGACGACCCTTCATAAATTTGGACCTTATTAATACTGACCCTGGGTGGCCGGTTGCTCATTATTTGTGGAACCTTCTTCCAACATCGTCATCACATTTTTGAAACACCGAGACAATGGCACTGAGCGATATTTTGCTTCAACACTTGGCCGTGGTCCACGGCTGCTCGAGGGCGCACGCATGCACTCATCTTCCGTGGATATGATGGACTAGCACTTTGAGCCTCTGCGTGTGTGTGTACACTCAGTGGGTTTATCGGACACGGAAGCTTGGGGTACCATTATTGGATAAATGAAATATCGGCACTCACCACAGGTCCCTGCTTTAGGGTAGAAGTAAGAGCTCTGTTCAGCGTGGTCATCGTGATAGGCATGCACATTTACATGTACCCGGAGAGGTTCAAAATGGTCGACTCTTCCATTTACTTGGGGGCGAGTTACCCGGCAAATACGTGGCTGGGAGCACCTGAGGATAGAAATCTCTTTTCAAGAACAGTCAGTTAAATACCATCGCTGCACAGATGATAGATAATACAATACGAAGAAACAGTTCTCCTTTATAAACAGTAATCAGAACAAGAGGCACTGGTAGAGGAAGTTGGCTGAGACTTCAAATTATTGTGACATGCAGCGGCTGTGCCGTATTTGAATATATTTGGGTCATCACGCACGCCTGTATAGAACATTTGCACAAACTGCGCACATACGCAATTGTTGGCATTGAATAACAAAGTTTTGATATTTCTACGAAGATGGCGTCCTATGAGAGAGATCTCTGACAATCCCTGAGGCATGGGGACAAGTATAGATGCCCCCTGTTATACATGCAGAACTGGCCAGAACTTGTTCAAACATCGTCCGTACCGTGACCACAACTCAGGAAGTCCTTGCATGTTTAAACGTGTGGCATGAGGTCGATGGAACGGAGATCTTTGGAGGTGTTCCTTCACAAATACTTCTCGAGAACAAATGCATGAAGCTGCAATATAGAAAATACTGCTTGACTAATTGACGTGCTAAAGCAAAACACAACAGCTTGTATCCATCCCGAGCAGTATATGTTACATGATGTTTGTCATTTGATTGGTATCCTCTTTTTTTGCTAAATGACTATTTTCCCTTGCCTGGCTAATTTCCTAGCTTAGCAGCTCCACAAAAGTTTGGCTCTGTTGTAATATAGGAGATCCACAATAGTGCTTGTTTTCAAACGTGCGTTGGGTGGACAGATTCCGCGCGTCTTGATTGGCCAACACGTTGCAAACTCTTGGAGGCTCACTATTTGTGAATCGCCCATATTGGGAACAGACCCTGCAACCACTGTGAAAAAGCCTGGCCATAACATACTTTCTGTGTCCAAAGGACATTAAACGATTGCTGTAACTACCTGCTTCTTTGGTTGCAGGTCTTACAATGCCGGTAACCTGATGGACGATTTGAAGTACCTGTATCGCGTGGCAGGCAGCCAAGGCCAGGGGATCACGTTCATCTTCACCGACAACGAGATCAAAGATGAAGCTTTCTTGGAGTATCTCAATAATGTACTGTCGTCGGGAGAGGTATGTCAGTGACTAGCCTAGATCACCTTTCTGGCGAATCTCCTAAGTCCCAAGTGAGCTCTAGAGAAATGCGATAAATCACTGTTCTGGTAAATCCGATCATACCAAACTCAAGTTAAGAGAATTACACTAAGGATTTGACTAACAATGGATATTTGGTAACATCATCACTGTGAGAGCTGATCAAGAGTGATTTTGAAAAACATATTACTGAGTTCCTCATCTACTCAGTTTCACAAGTATCTTTCTAAACAGTTGATCATTAGTCATGCAATAGACATCTCTAGTGACCACAGTAACGCTATCACTGGCCGTTTGCAATGGGCTCCATAAGTAATGGGCAAATAAGACTTTTGATTCGTGTGCAGCCACTTTTCTGAAACAGTTGGTTAAATCAAGCACGGTGCTTTCTGCCATTAAAGGAGACCATCATTAATGCTCAGTGATACATTGGTGGATTTATCTATGCCATGCCTCAGTGTCAGGTATAAAGGCCTCCGTGTCCTTTCGTAGGTGTCTAATCTCTTTGCTCGCGACGAGCTAGACGAGATCACCCAAGAGTTGATATCGGTCATGAAGAAGGAGTTTCCCCGCAGACCCCCAACCAACGACAATCTCTACGAGTACTTCATCTCCAGAGCTCGCAACAATCTCCATGTTGTCCTCTGCTTCTCTCCTGTAAGTTCGCTCGGCTGTATAACAGTCTTTAGGTAGGACTTCATAGCTGGAAAATGTTCCCCCACTGTGAGAAATCATTTTCACATTTTTGGAATAGAAATGAATACCCTGGGAACAAAAAAATGTAAAAAGAATTTCCACTCCCAGCTTAAAGAGCACGTCTAAGGAAAACATGTTTTCCCTGATTTTATCTGTTCAAATAAATATGGAAGCATCCAAATCGAATGTCAGCAATGGTTTATCCACTATGAACACAGGGCGAGGGTTCCCCTTGTTTTCTGTTTTCTCCGAATGATGCAATCTATATTCAGAATTCGCATCTTGGCATGAACAGAAAAAAAGCCCTTTTTAGCTTGTTATAGTCGAGCTCTGAAGACAAATGACACTGGGTTCGATTTGGATGCATCCATAATTTGAACAGATAAAATCAGAGAACATTTACTTGAAATGCACTCCACCTGTATCAATGTCGAAGTCAAGTCTACTGAATCTAAACCTGAGTTTGTCCAGTTTGAGTCCGAGTCCTCACCGATATCTCAAGTGAATGCGTTGCTTTGTTCTATTATGTTCAGGTCGGAGAGAAGTTTCGCAACCGTTCCTTGAAGTTTCCGGGCTTGATATCAGGCTGCACCATGGACTGGTTCACCCGCTGGCCCAAGGACGCCCTGGTGGCCGTGTCCAACCACTTCCTGTCCAAGTTTGAGATTATATGTCCCCCCGAGACCAAGCAACAGCTTGTGCACACCATGGGAGAGTTCCACGATGGAGTGGCCGAAACTTGCACCGACTATTTCCAGAGGTTTAAACCCCCTGTTTTTTCAATTTCCGTTCTTGTAGTGTTTGCTCTGGAATCTTTCCCATGCACACTTGGCTGACATCAAAGGGACTGGGTCCTAGAGAAGATAAGGATGACCATCTGATTTTAGATTGCAGTGTGTGTCAAGTGTTTTCAGAGTTGTACAGAAATGGCTTTCAATAAGAAAAATGCAGGCAATTTGCATTGCTTGTCAGAAATCTGAAGTGAAAACGCCAGGTGTTTGCAATTAAAGTTTGCCAACAATACCCAAATTTTATCAAAATGGAATGGTTCGGAATCGACGGTTTCAGATGTTTTTCAGACATGGGACGTTGCCACGTGAAGTGCCATTTTTGGCTACTGGACCCAGAGATTCTGTCAAAATAGTTTGAACCTCATTGCCTTTACCTCCGTATTGCACTTGATAGGTACCGCCGTCAAACCCATGTGACCCCCAAGTCCTATCTGTCCTTCATCGACGGCTACAAGACCATCTACCAGGAGAAGTATGACCTGATCTCGGAGCTGGCACGCCGGATGAACACCGGCCTGGACAAGCTGATTGAGGCCAGCGAGTCAGTTTCCCAGCTGTCCAAAGACCTAGTGGTCAAGGAGAAGGACCTGGCTGTGGCCTCTGTCAAGGCTGACAAGGTAAGGCCATTAAAAACAACGGAACTCAGTGAATTGCTAGGGCTGCTTGGGAGGAAATCTTGCTGAGCAGGTGTATGTGCTGTTTGGTGGGAAATCTCGCTAAGCGGATATGTGTGCTACTTTGTAGGAAATCGTGCTTAGCATGTACGTGTTGCTTGCCAGGTGTCACAAGCCGGGTTCTAACAATTTAGGTTTGGTGTTTCTGGAACACCTCACTGATGAAATCTTTGAACATATTTCAATTTTCCCAGAAAAACATTTATTCACGATATATACACGACGACCGAACCATACACCGATGTCTTCAAAGTTATAAGGTGATCACCTACAGTTCCAACCTTTTTGACCTGTATGTGGCCACAATAAAGATAGATCACATTACAAATGCTACTGCCAGTGTCACTGATTGCGCCTTGGACAAACTCTCTTGAGCGTTTCCCTTGTGGAGGTTTTTACTCAGTCAACTGGGCGTCTCTCTGACGGTGGACGATGCAATCTCAGTTCAGTTTAGTAGGTTGCTGATCAAAGTAAACTGTAACTCCACTAAAAGGAGCCAGTTTTCAAGACAAGAACTGTCTTAAAAGCCTGACTCCCTTGGCTGAATATGACTGGAAGCAAGTCCTGGCTGATCAACTAGGTTATTAAATTAAACTTTCGTAACAGCTATCACTGATCAGAATTCTTTCGGCTATCGCCAATGTTCAGGGGAAAATCTTTCCCCACCAAGACCCACTTGGGCTAACACTCTCCAAATACTTTTTTGTGCTATCAATAGCACCACCGATCTGAGCTCCCTTAATCTCTGGCATGAATTGACCAGAAATTTTCTGATTCAGTCCCCCACTGGAACTGCCCATAAAGCCCTTCATGTGTTATGTAAAATGAAAGCCCACATTTTTTTCAAAACTTTCCTGCTACAACCTTATTGGGAGCACCACACCCCAAAAGTCAATCCAATTATTAAACATATTCGCCTGACTGTGCTATGCAGGCAGATCCTGATGTTAATGAATAATCATTTACACAAAAATACGCCCTCTTGTGACATCAGGCAATCTTGCTTAATTAGCATATGTATATGCTGCATGATAGAAATTCTTGCTTAGCAGATGTGTGTTCTGCTTGGCAAATGGCAGGCAATCTTGCTTAGCAGTCTTAAAGACTTTTTTAGGCTTCATTCTGCCATGTACCATTGAATTACATACACACATTAAATTATATTGTTGTTGACAGCAAAGGGTTAAGTCAGTCAGTAATCCAGTGGAAGCAGCGGCGTAGCGAAGGCATTTTCTTTGAGGGGGGTGTGCCAGGGTCAATTTGCCGACTGGTCGATGTACGTCAATAATTCATGCAACACCCCCCCGCTCACTACGCCGCTGAGTGGAAGAGCTACCTAAACTAGATCAATCAACTGGTAATAGCCTAGAGAGTGATCTTAGCATTGCATCCTTCAAGGTAGATAACATTAAACTAAATGTGATGAAAGGCTGATCTGAAAATAGCACCATTGGACTAGTGGCTTCATGCATCTCACATAGATGCACCTGCAATTTACAGCTTTTACTGAGGCAATTGGACATGACCTAAGTTCCAGAACAACATGTTGACTGAACGCACCTTACTCTTCAAATGCTGGTTACCGCTGTGCAACAATATATCTTGTAGGTGTTGGCCGAGGTGACGGTGTCCGCCCAGGCCGCCGAGAAGGTCAAGAGCAGCGTGCAGAAGGTCAAGGACAAAGCCCAGCACATCGTGGACGAGATCGAAGCTGACAAGGCTGTGGCCGAGACCAAGCTGGCTGCGGCCAAGCCAGCCCTGGAGGAGGCGGAGGCCGCCCTCAACACCATCAAGCCGGCCCACATCTCCACCGTCCGCAAGCTGGCCAAGCCCCCGCACCTCATCATGCGCATCATGGACTGCGTGCTGCTGCTCTTCCAGAAGCGGCTGGATGGCCTGACCTTGGATCCGGAGAGGCCGTCGCCCAAACCGTCCTGGGGCGAGTCCCTCAAGGTATCGAAGGGGAGCTAGTTTTTATCAGTGATCCAGGGAGTCCTTCAGTGCAGCATATTGTGGGGGTAAACTGAATGGGCTTTATTTTTCTGGACCAGGACCTTGACCATTTCAAATCACGCTCCCCGAATTCACTTTATTTATTGGACACGCTTGACTCGTGCTGAATAATTTTAGAATGCCCTGAAACATTCCAGAACCAACTGAGTCAAAAGCAATGTCATAAGCATGCATCATGTGCTCATGCATGGAGTGCATCGTGACATTTTTGTGTTTGCGTGTGGGAATTGGGTTGAGTCATTTGTTTTTTCCTTCCAAATTCGTCCAAATTGTAAGAAAGGGATCAGTGTAATTTGGATAACACTTGATGAGGCGACAGATGTCATTTTTTTAGTAACAAAATCTATTTACCATTGACAAAACAGGGGTGTCTTGTTAGTAACTGATGTCCAAATTGCTCTAACATTCTAACCAGTGAAAAATAAACTGAACCTGAAACCTGAAAACGATACGCTCTCCCTTTGCAATACTCCTAGGTGATGAGCGGAGGTGGGTTTCTGACCTACCTCCAGACTTTCCCCAAGGACACCATCACTGAGGAGACAGTGGAGCTGCTGGCCCCTTACCTGGAGATGGAGGACTACACCCTAGCCTCGGCCAAGAAGGTCTGCGGTGACGTGGCTGGTCTTCTGTCCTGGACCGTGGCCATGGCAGTCTTCTACAGCATCAACAAGGAAGTGTTGCCGCTCAAGGTATGATGCTGTTGCAAGAGGGTATTGCTAATGACCATGCAACCATTTCAATCAGTGGTGTAGTCAAGTCAATTTACGTCCATCCTGAGTCATCCATTCTTAATCCAAGTCACCTGTAGCGGGCCTAGTGAGATACCCTACACGACTTGTGACAAAGAGGGACCCCACCCCCCCTAACTTGATATGTAAGCCGTATTCCCTAAGGCTATTGTTCCCATTGTATTCCCCCTGAAAATCTGAAAGGAATTCCAAAAGGGGGCCCCTTTGCCACATATTGTGTATTATATGTCTTGTGAAAGGATGGACTCGACTCTACCACTGATTTCAACCCCAAGATATCTTCTTCATGGCACTGATTAACGTACAGAGCAATGACAGTACACCATACTGTCATGCGTTTGGTAGAATTCGCGATTGTCTGTCTTTTTCCGTTGTGCTACATTTTCAGCTTGACTTAAATTGCAGTTTACCGGATACAGATTTTCTATTCACCATCACTGTTACTTGTTGCTTGATGCCTTTTTCACGCTAACAATTTGAAGTACATTGCTGACCTACGTAGCCATTGTCATTGTGGATTGCACATCTTACAAAAACGATGGGGTTTGTGTTTGTAGGCCAATTTGGCCGTGCAAGAAGCCCGTCTGAATGTGGCCAATAGCGAGCTGGCCAAGGCCCAGGCCGTGCTGGACGAGAAGCAACGAGAGCTTGACGAGGTGCAGGCCAAGTTTGATGCCGCCATGAAAGAAAAACAGGTGGGCAGCCAGTCCCTCTTTGACAAGAAGTAACTCCCCTCCCTGGCCCCACCAGCATTGACCGGATAGACCGGTGAGACAAATTGCAACCTGGAGCACGGTGGATGTCACCCAAAGACTGTAGATTTCAAAAGAGAATTGGTCGTGCTCACTCTGTGTGCCCTGCAGCAAATGAAAATGAAACCAGTTTCTTTCCTGTGCTAAATGCATGCCATCAACCGTTCCATGCACAAGGCAAATACCACTGGACTTGGCATATTTTCCCCACTTGCCAGCGGTTCAAACTGTGTGATTCATCTAACGGAACCTGGCAAGTTTGATGGTCAGGTGGTCAAGACTTGTCAGCAAAAAGCTGAACTGATTGTTGGCACAGGAAGCTTTGAAACTCAACAGTAGTTTCTTGGCTCTCAGAAAGTATTGAGCAAACAACATTTGCAATATTATTTTAGTATTGAAAAAGCTCTTGGCTTAAAGGCTAACTAGATGTAGCGTAGCATCAATGAAATGAGCAGTTAGGATGAAAATCTTTGTTTGGGTGACCTTCATGGGGACAGTACCTCAGAACTCCTCCCATTCCCCGCCATTGCTGTACCCAAGTTGCTCAACCTCCACCATGCTGCACTCTAAAGATGTGAAATATTTGGTTTGTGAACAAAACTTTTCTTTATTTGAGAAATGAACGAAAATCTCTAATCATTTCATGAATGTGCAATATTCCACAAAGGGCGTGAAATGTTTGTACGTAAGCCTGACCCAGCTCTGTTTTCTTTGAAATTCAGGACCTGCTGGATGATGCTGAGAGTTGCAAGAAGAAGATGCTGGCAGCGTCTGCCTTGATCAACGGACTGGGAGGAGAGAAGGTCCGATGGACCGAGCAGAGCAAAGAATTCAAAGCTCAGATCAACAGGTCAGGAGGCTGATGCCTACCGTTAAGCAGTGTGCTCCTGCCGTGGCTAACTTTCGGCAGAACAAAGTTTGAAATGCGTAGAGATCAACTTTCAGGATTAGGGGGTGCGGACTACAGCTCAAAGCATGAATCCAGCTAAAGTGGAGTTTGATTTAAAGTGAACTCAGTTTCTGCTGAGTGTACCTGTAATGTTTTTGTTCATTCATTGTCGTTAATCACTCAGGATTGGCTCAGCTGCAGATATTGTCTTGTTCAAAAATTGCCTTGGTCCATCCTTAGAAGCACTAGGCAAACTGCTACTTCTTATCGCTGTACCCTCGTTCATTTTTTATATCATTCTTTTGAGTATGTGAGGAGTGAAACTACATGTAGCACTCTCGTACGACCTGATCTTCATTTGTTTCAAGCCTTTTGCCTACAAACTAAGCCAGTTAGTGGGTCTTCGCACAAAGTTTTGACGTACAGTGGAGTCAACCCCTGCCAAAGCAGCGGCACTGATTTTGTTTTGTTGTTTCCAGGCTCGTCGGTGATGTTCTGCTGGCCACGGGCTTCCTGTCCTACTCCGGTCCCTTCAACCAGGTCTTCCGCCTCAACATGAACGAGGACTGGATGAACCAGCTGACCTCCAGAAAGATCCCCTTCACCCAGAACCTCAACATCACCAGCATGCTGGTGGACAACGCCACAGTGAGTGCCCCAGTCTATTAAATTATGCCTCAAGAGTTCTTCTTCCTCTCTGTCATCTATCACAGAAATTCTCTTATCACGGAAAAGTATTTGCAGGACTGAAAAAGGTTGCAATCCAAAGTCAAACAAAATGTCCTACAAAGTGCATTTCTTGAGCTGGATTCTCAGCTGTGATTTTTTGCTCTACGCAAATTTGCTAAGGCGTATTTTGGCTCGGCAGTTCTGTGACCTTTGGACCTACTTGATCATTTGTTACTGGAACTGTAAGTCCTTCCCCTCCTTTGCTCGGTTGCAGACAAATCCTACCTACACGTGAGCAGTTTCTGTAGCACACTTGTGGCAGGTTGTGTGTCTGTAAATACATTCCAACTCTATTGCATTTCAAAATACGTGCAGGCTTGGTTCTGAGCTTTAATGTCTGGCTGCCTTGCAGCCCGAGTGTTGAATATTGCCCTTTAGTGTTGACAAAGAGACAAGACCTACACTTTAAAACTGTTGCCCCTTGCAACATTAAAATCAATCCGGTATTAAATCTCAGCATTGTACGCAAGGGTAAAGTAAACATCAAACATTAGCCAATTCAGGCATTAAACACCTTTGTCAGAACAAAAGGGGATGACACTTTTCGCATGAGACGGGTACAGAGTATCTCCCTGCGTCTAATCTGACCCTCTGCATAAGTGCGCCAACCACCGAGCATTGTGGCTAGATGGCACTCAACCCTCTCTTGATGTCAGTTGAAGTCCATTTCCATTGGAAGCAGAAGCTGTAAACACTCTTCACCAGGTGCACTGCCGCTAACCAGTTCCTTGTATTTCTTGCCAACAGATAGGAGAGTGGAATCTACAGGGTCTGCCTAATGACGACCTGTCGGTGCAGAACGGCATCATCGTGACCAAAGCCACACGCTACCCGCTGCTGATTGACCCGCAGGGACAAGGCAAGGCCTGGATTAAGAATAGAGAGAAGGAGAACGGATTACAGGTACATCATGGCCAACTCCCCACAAAATTTTCATCTTTTCACAAGTCTGTGAGGGAACGTTTCATAATTACAGAAGGCGGTATTTACTGCGGTACCGCTGTATTTTTGCGGTACCAGCATTAAGCCCTTTCGGGTAACTAGTGCGGTGCCGCTAAAAAAACAGCGGTACCGCAGTAAAGACCGCCTTCAACAATTATGAAACGCTCCCCTATTGTCTCGGCAGCGTTGGATGCCATCAATACGCAACAGTTGTGCAAAATATGTACAGGAAAAAAACAAAGGCAGGAGGTACAAGGAAGGGCCCCACCATACCAGTCAGCCTATGATGTCACACCTAACAGAACCTCTGATGAGCTGGAATGAGCTTTCTCAGTGCAGTATTTTTGGAAAATCGCTCAGACTTCTAAATAGAATGATTTATCACCCTAACATGCGGTTTGTCCACTCTCATTGCAAACAGTCCAAGAGGAGATCAAATTATTATTGTGGCATGTAAATCTGCCACCGCTCTCATGTGTCAGTGAGTCCATAGGATTTGCATTCCCTCAAGAATGCTGGAACAGCAGATGCCCCAACGGACAAGCTCTGTAGTATTTTACCAGAGATATAGAGGTGCTTTACCATATGTCTGCCTGTGTATTGTTTGTTAATTCAATTGATGTTTTGGTATTCAAACCCTTCAACTGTGGTCATACCTTCAAGCGGCTTGCCTTCCTATCGTAGGATGCAAACCGCTGAAACTAATAGAACTTGGAATCAGGACAATTCAAGTGTTGCAATTATTTTGGTTGACAATCTTCTTTTTATCTCATTTCAGGTGACCTCACTCAACCACAAGTACTTCCGGACTCATCTTGAAGACGGTCTGTCCCTGGGTCGGCCGCTGCTCCTGGAGGACATCGGCGAGGAGCTAGACCCGGCCTTGGACAATGTGCTGGAGAAGAACTTCATCAAATCGGGTTCCACCTACAAGGTGAAGAAAAAATAAGCTGGTGTTCCGGTGGGAAGGAGACCTGGGAGGGTGTGATTAAATATCAATAAAATATTGCATCAGTTTCCCCCTTTTCCCTTAATTAAAGGAAGCTGCAATCGATTTGTGTTAACACAGGCCTTCAGAATGCACTTTTGTGTCTCAGTTCACCTTATTTCCAACTTTTGTTTCGCTATTTCAAAGGGTATTTTACTGCCCTTGAAGTTTTTATGCTAATGATATTTCCATATTCATGTGCAAAACTGTGATGTCATCCCAGGAAGAATGCCTGAATGTTACACTGTTTGTACACAAAAGAGTCCTGCATTTTTGGAGATCTTGCATGACCATTTTTTCTCCTCTTTGCTGATTAATACTTGCTTGTGTGCATAGCAATAAGCCAAGATCCCTTTCTCAGAAATATTTTCAGTAAGTAAATTCAGGATCCCAATTTTAACAGAAAAACCTATGCACTGAAATGTGTATTCTCCAGGATGACAGCAACACAAAACAGCAACAGCGCCCTTAGTTGTCCAGGAAAGCATGGATATTTTTAAGTGTTTAAAAAGTGAACTTTTCAATGCATCTAACCAAAAAATCAAAGGCGTAAAATAATTTTCATACAAAAAGAGTACAAAGTTGCAAAAAAATTGTATCTAAGAAAAATTCATCGTAGCTTCACTTAAATCCTGAATGATTGGCTCCATTTGACAAAGACTATAGTGTAACATGAAAGTGGACAAAGTTAATCCTCATAGTGTGTCTTGAAAATCTTCAACACCTGCGGTGAAATTAAAAATCCCTTTTTATTGCAAAGGGAACATTTCTTTGAGGGTTTTCTTGCTACTTTGACCTTCTTGCAGGTGAAAGTAGGAGACAAGGAAGTAGATGTAATGAAGGGATTCACTCTCTACATGACCACCAAGCTAGCCAACCCAACGTACACACCAGAGGTCAGTTGTAAATTGTACACTCACCGAAAGATCCAATTCTGTGGTGATTTTCATCCTCTGGGCTGGTTTTCGGGGTTTTTTGGTTTCCCCCTCCTTTCCCACATTTTAAATTCTTTTCCCCTTCCCCCGCCCTTTGCCTTTTATGCGTGTTCCAGCCCTTGGCTGTTCCTGCGCTAAAGCCTTTTCGTTTTTTGACACCATATACCGTTAGTGATTTTGGTGATTTTCCTGGCCGTCCAATCTTTGTTCATAGCCATTCTCTTTTCTGTTGTGTCCTCTTGACTCATTGTGTACAGTTTCCCCCAATCTGTTGTCGTAGTCAGTGCTGTCTTTTCACACAGCAAGGGTCTTTGTTGTCTTTGTTTGTTTGTAGGTGTCCGCCCGCACCTCCATCATCGATTTCACCGTCACCTTGAAAGGACTTGAAGACCAGCTCCTGGGCCGTGTCATTCTGACAGAGAAACAGGTTCATTTTATCGTGGATCTTCAGTTGTGCAATTTAACCCAACACCTCTAATTCCTCAATTTTAGAATAGGAATATTCTTTAGGAAATACCATTAAAGTGGAAGGTTTATAATACACTCAAGATAAACTTGATTATTTACTGGGGCAGCATGGACATCCGGGGTTCTTGCAAAATGACTGGTACTGCGCCGGTGAAAACAGCGACCTTGGCGACGTACGCACGCATCAGTCAGTCCGAGGATCGGGTTATACAGTCTTTTGTTTGATCTGTACGTGGTTGCTACCCGTATTTTTGTGAAACTCCCGGATGTCCGCGCTGCCCCATATTGAAGACCTTTATCCAATCCTGTTTAGCATTTTTCTAGAGATGATCATTCAGAACATGTCTTTATTTTACATTCACAGGGAACTTTTTCAGCATTGTATCCAGGGGCCAATTTCATAGAGCTGCTTAAACACAAAATTTGCTGAAGCACAAAAAAAAAAACGCAAAAAACCTTGCTTACAAAAAAAAAGGTTACCAGCTCAAAATCAAAATGTGATTGTCATGCTAACCAAAGGACAGGTGAGTACCATTCCAAAACAATATACATCACGTGGAGTTTTGGCTGCTAACCTGATTTGTTAAGCAAGCAAGGTTTTTTCACACTCAAGCAAATTTTGTGCTCAAGCAGCTCTATGAAATTGGCCCCAGGTTTCAGGGACAGTTTATTTTACACCTCATAATAAACCGAATCTTTTGTGGACAAAGTTTACCCTTCAAAGCTTCCGTGCCATCTATGTGTATACAAACGGGCTGTCTGTTTGACAGAAGAGTCTCTCCTGTGTTTGATACAGGAGTTGGAAGCAGAGCGGACTAAGCTGATGGAGGACGTGACGGCCAACAAACGGAAGATGAAGGAACTGGAGGATAACTTGCTCTTCAGACTGACCAGTACGCAGGTGAGTCCACACACAGCAGGCTGTGGCCCAGCAGACAGGAGTAAATGCCCAATTATTGTCCTCAGGGCACTGCTCCTCTTAAAAACAACAAGATCACCCCACAAAGATAGTATGTGCAACCTCCTGAAGGCTCAATGCAGTAACAAAGGTGTGAAAATTCAGCTTTGTAGCTGATTTCAGTTTTTTGTTTTGATGTTGACCCTGAATTTCAGCTTTTTTGTGCACCTGCTGTGTACAAACGTGTGGGGACTTCTTACATTTCAGCTTTTTGCTAGCTGTTTTCAGCTTTAATTTTAAGTTGCCACTCGCAGCCCTGAATAAACAAAACCAGTTGCAATGACAGCAGAGAAATTGTTTTAGGAGATGGAATCGGAACCCTGCTTTTCCTCCTCTAAGGGTTAAAATGCCAACCCCTTCCCCTTGCAGAAAAACCCCATAATATGAACATGCCAACTAGAAATTGGCTGTAATTGTCAGCCTATCAGGATCCATTTTCTTGGAGTTCTGCTTGGTAAAAGGTTGTCCAGAATCTGGCCGTCATGTATCATTTCTCCCTGCGTACATGCATTGCATACAACCCAACTCAAGACCTCACAAAAGAATGCTCAGAATAGTTGCTCCTGTGGATGCTGAAAGTCAAGGGTTAATGAGTAGAACATGAATATGCATGCTAATATGCATATATCACGCATATGTAACAATGGCCAGCAGTGCTGCTGCACGCATACCCAGGATGCGCACACAACGCTTAGCGTGGTTGGACCATAGAGCACATAATGAGCAGGGTGTGGGCGGAATAAAGTTCCGAGATTTTCGGGGGACATTGAGCAAATGGGCGGGACTGTCTTCAGGACCTTGTATGAATTCCCTCTATCAGTGACTGTGGGGTAGTGCAGGGCCAATGCTCACGGGCCAGGAAAACAACACAAACTCAGGCTGTGGATCAGATGAAAGGGCTTTTTGGACTGATTTCATTTCCTTTTTCAAATTCATGTAAAACTTGTGGAATCATTAAAAATTTTACACCTGTTCACAGGTCTCTGGAAAATTTTGTTTCTGAAGGGAAATTCTTCTATTTCTGAAGAGTGGATTAATTTCCTATGTGCAGTGAATTCCACGTGCCAATGATTGCATTATCCAGGGTTCTCTGGTGGAAGACGAATCTCTGATCTCTGTCTTAGCCACCACCAAGGAGACCTCGGAGGAAGTGACCGACAAGCTGCTGGTAGCCGCCGACACTGAGATTAAGATCAACGAAGCTCGGGAGGAGTTTAGACCAGGTTGGTGCCCTCCAAAACCAAAATCTGAACTTCACTGGAGAGACTTTCTCTTGGTATACAATACTTAAATTTACTGATCAAAACCAAACACACTGAGAAGTAGCACGTGAGAAATGGGTTTGCGGGTACGCCATGGAATCAATCTCTTTTGGATGAGGTGTGGTTCTTAAAAGAACCGGTGAGTATAAACTTGACGTTTCGGCCAGTGTGCTCTGGCCGTCCTCGGGAGAGTGTGCCGGACTGGAGTGGATAGCTGGTTGCACATGGAGTGGATAGCTGATAGCACGTGGAGTGGATAGCTGATAGCACGTGGAGTGGATAGCTGATAGCATGTGTTGTTGTTGAGCCCATCACAAGTCCCTGCAAGTCCGTCAAAAACCCATCACAGCTCATCCAGTCTTGAGTCAAAATCTTTTCTCACGGACCGTGAAGAAAGCATTCCTCACTGTTCACCCTGTTGCTTATCATTGGTCTTGTGAAATTACTTGAGTGGACTTACATGTACATACAATACTGGAAAACATTAAGCTATGTTATAATGCAATGGTATACTGACGTTACAAAGGATTGAATGTGTAGATGTTTGGTTCAGTCGCAAAAAGAAATGTTGCAGCTCACTTCAGTGCTTGCTCATGCATGGCCCGCAGCACAAGCTAAGGAATACAGCATGTGTGTACTGTCAATTCTTAGGTTTGGGTATTTTGGAGTAAGTTTATCCTGCTCTATGAGGAGGGGAGAAGCATAAATCCCAGTTAGAGGGTTTGCAACATCAGTAAAATGATCAGTTGTCTTGGTGATTAAGATTTGGACATCTGGCCATTGTTTTTGGTAGTCGCCTCAAGAGGCAGCATCCTTTACTTCTTGATCACCGAGATGAGCATGGTGAACATCATGTACCAGACCTCCCTCAAGCAATTCTTGGGCGTCTTTGATCTGTCCATGGCAAGGTAGGACTCCTTTTTTCGACAGAGTATGTTGGCGAAGATCCTAAATGCTAACCTCGTTAGTGGTTCGTCTGTTTTGAGCCCCTTAGGATCGTTTATGGTGTCAGTTCGTCCTTGCACCAGCAGACTCGTTTTCTGGTCTCAGGGGAATGGTTTTGGACATAAATTTCTATTGGGTATTAATCCTTCAGAGCTAATAATCAAATAGAAATGGATGGCTCGTTGATGATGCATTTTAATACAAGTTTGACAAGAGCCAAACTATTAAAGAAGGTTTAGTTTAGAGTCTACCAGTAGTTTAACTGGTTGTGTTTATATTCCATGCACTGTATCTAACAGTCTGAAAAGCCCAGAATGGTCTACTAAGTGCCACCTGTTCAAGACAGCACTCATTTTTATCGTAGGGACAAAGCCACAACTTTTCATTTGATGAGTCATTTCTTTGATCTGCTTTTCCATGTTGGAAACCAAGTCATGTGAAGTTGTTGGATCAGAATGTTGGCAATCGCTATTGGCTGCGCACACATGCGGCAGATGGCGCTCTTGAAACCCACCGATGACATTCCTTTGAGTATCCTGGTGCTAGCTGATTGGCTGTTCCTCATTTACTTAATTTACATATTCTGGGTAGGCTGGTAGACTCTTTCAAGTCCCTCCACTGTTGTTTTCACTCCTGATCTTTGTGGAGAGGGGAGCCATGCTTTTCTATTTCTTCACATTAGGGATTAGGGAGAGTACTTGGATGTGCTTCTGTTGCATTTTTAGCCGGTGCAGGCAAGTCGATCTGTCCAACATGTGGATGTCATTTCTGGGCTTAATCATGCAGATCCGAGAAGTCGCCCATACCGGCCAAGCGCATCTCCAACATCATTGAATACCTGACCTACGAGATCTTCAAGTATTCCTGCCGCGGGTTGTACGAGAACCACAAGTTCCTCTTCACCTTGCTGCTGGCCCTCAAGATTGACCAGCAGCTGGGCATCGTCAGCCACAGTGAGTTCCAGACGCTCATCAAAGGTAAGACGCGGTGAGGACAGGCACGGTCTTTTGTTGTGACTGCGGCTGGAGTTAATGTGTGCACTAATGGAAGTCACTGGTCTAGTGGCTACATCCACTTGCCACTGATGTGTGTGTGTCATGCCAAGCCATATAGCCAGTTAATTCAGACATTGCTTATAAATCAGGACAGTGGGTCTGAGGACAGCTCATACCTATCTCAGATCATCTCGTAAGTTATAACACAGTTGCAGGATTTCTGGCTTCCATTTCAACATTCGCTAGCTGTTGTGCGAAGTGTGTTGGGATTTTTACAAATTGTCAAAATTCCTGCCAACTTGACAGAGCCCAATTACATCCTCAAGCCCAATTTCATGAGGCTGCTTAACAGTTAGCAGAAAAGTTGGAGAAGATACAATGTGATACCTTCTCAAGTCAATGAACATTGTGCATGATAGCTTCTTGAGTGATTTGCCAATGGCATAAATTCTTCTTACCTTGTAAACTAGGTGGAGCCGCATTGGACCTTAAGGCTGTGCAGCCCAAGCCATTCAAATGGATCACGGACATGACCTGGTTGAATCTGGTCCAACTCAGCAAACTCCAACAGTTTCAGGAAGTTCTCAACCAGGTAGGATATCAGAACCTCTTGCAGTGTGGGAATAGTTTCCAGTACAAGTGCGACAACCTGTATTCATTTCAGTGGGCGAAACTTGCCAGGAGCAGTTCTAACATGTCCACGTATTGGGCTAAGGATATTGTATTGTGCATTCAAGTTCAACTTCTGTGGTGCTAAGGAATGGTGGAATTGCCAGTCTTGAGATTCCTGGTCAAAGTAAAAGGACCCTCTGTGGCTTGTGTGTGTGTAGATAAGAGAGAGACCTTTTTTTACATCACACAGTGATCATCCCTTAGGGTAAAACTGCACATGCGCACATTTGTTTACGTGCGTCTGGTTTGGAGTATTCCCCAAGGGCCTTAAATCTGTAACTTTTAGGAGGGTTTGAGGTGAACAGTGCCTGTGGCATGAGAGTGTCTTCTAGTCTGTCTGTCTGTCTGTCGTGACCAGAAGCATATCCCTCACCTAAGCTGTTGGGTAGTTTTTTTCTACCGGATGCATATACGAAGATCGGAGACTCTGACAGAGTGTGTCTGCACCTGCGCAGCATAGTGCACATCAAACATGCATGAGCCTGCGCACAAGTGCAGTGAGGTCCCACCTGAGGATTGTCACTACTATGTAAAAGCATGAAATCTCTTTTCCCGTTTGGAATGAATTAGTCATCCATGAGGTGATATTTTCGAATGGATGGGATCGGCCGTTGCAAAATGCAATCAAGTGATAATGTGGGGTCACGAAGTACCCATAGCCTCTTTGACTGGGCAAACAACCTGATTCGTGTACCTCAACAGGTGAATGGATTTGTGAATGTCAGAAATGGTGGGCCTACACTCAAATGCCATTGACTCGCATTTTTTGTGCTAACTCAAGAAATTGACTCTCTTGACTGCATTATAAATCTGAGCACAGAACAACAGGCAGGGAGTTGCAATTTTATAACAAGACAGAAATCTTCTGTGTGGTATAGATTCAGCGTAATGAGAAGGCATGGAAGGCCTGGTTTGACAAGGATGCCCCTGAGGAAGAGGTGATCCCCGATGGCTACAACACACTGGAAACATTCAAGAAATTACTTCTCGTCAGGTAAATAAAAACCTCTAGTCTCCAAACCTCTAGAAGCTAGAATGACATCCGTCTTAATGCTCAAGAAGCGAAGTTGCAAATGAGCAGATGAGAACAATGTAGAGCATTTTTAAGGCTAATTTTCCATTTCATCCTGACATGCATTAAATTACACAGAGGGTCGACGCGCAAAGGACCTTTGATCAAATAACAAGACAGTAATGAACAGGGGGGAAAATATGGAGACATTTTCAAAAAGCAACTCTAGAAATGCCCTTGAAGACAAAAACTAGACAACAAAACTAACAATAGAGTTTACAGATTGTAAAAACAATGGACCAAGACAAAACAAAACAATCCACCGGACTAAGATATACCGAAAGTAGAAATGAAAGCGTTTAAAATTCTCAAATGAAAGAATGAAGGATAGGAGAAGAATGACAAGAGATGGAGCTGCTACAGATAATTGGAGACAAATCCCTCACAGAGTTCAAAGAACAGCCATCTCTTGGCTCTGTTTCAACTCGATTCTCGGTTGTTTTTGCGTTTGGTCGTGTTCAGGAGTTGGTGTACAGACCGTGTCATCCCTCAGGCCCGCAAATACATCGCGCACTCCATGGGCGCCCGCTACGCCGACCCCGTCATCCTGGACCTAGAGAAGACCTGGGAGGAAGGCGATGTGAGGACGCCCCTCATCTGCTTCCTGTCCATGGGCAGCGACCCCACCAACCAGATAGAGGGACTGGCCAAGAAACTCAAAGTCGGTAGGTCCTTCTGCTGCTCAGGAACCGCCGTGCTGTGCGTTCATGAACCGAAAAGATTTTAAACTCCATGCCGTTGACTGCCACCTGTACCAACTTCAAACAGTGCCCCCTTTTGTGTCGACAGTACTTCCAATAGGCAAAGAGAAATCGGGAACTGGGAAGCCAACTGTTTGAGTGGGTCAGACAGTTGCCTCAAGCAATAGGTGCTGCATTACAGAGGTAATGGCATGATGTGATTCGTTCTTATCTTTTGTCAGAATGCAGGGCTATCTCGATGGGTCAGGGGCAGGAGGTTCATGCTAGGAGACTAGTGGCACAGTCCATGGCTGGGGTAAGTTTCACAGGTTGACTCCCAGAAGCATATGCTGTCATTTACAGGAAGCAACGACCCATGGGACAAAGGGTTTTCATCGCTTCGGCCCATACATCCCTACAGGTCAAACTCCTTCAGCACATTTTGAAAACTTGCCTGCATTGATTTCCATGAAGTTGCTGTCATTGGGGAGACTCTATCAAATTTTACTTTAACGGTCAATCAGGAGGTTAGCTAGGAGAATTGTGCCTTCAGCTTGCCTCCTCCACACCACTCTGTCTCTTGCTGTGATGCCAACCTCTGCCCAGCTACCAGTTCCCATCACCTGTCTTTCTAGCCCCACTGCTCCTTGAGTCCCCCTCATAGGAGGTGCAAAGTTTAATTTCATCTCCTCTGACCATGTAGTAATACATATTACATTTCATCAATTCAAGCAAGTCCACCTACTCTTGGAACACTTGTTATAGTAAAAAACTTGTACCAGAAAAACGTTATCAACTCTTGTTATTGTGTGGGAAAAATTCAGTACAGCTGTCAGGCCTGTGGTTAAAAGCTAGTCTACTCTGATGGGAACTGAATGCAAACCGTTCCTGTGCCGTCGGAGACCCGTTGATTTCCCAGTAGAAGCCTCGCAGAGTGAAATAAAGGTGTTTCGGGTTTTATTAGAGATCGATGTACTTTAACTGAGCAACCTGTGTCCATTTTAGGGAGGTTGGGTGCTACTGCAGAACTGCCATCTGGGCTTAGACTTCATGGATGAGCTTCTAGAGACAGTGACCACCCATGAGCCGGTGCACGAGACTTTCCGAGTGTGGATCACCACAGAGGAACACCCCCGGTTCCCCATCAGCCTCCTGCAGGTAACAACGCACCTACCCCCTACACACTCATCAAAACAACAAACTCACACTTCCCGGTCAGTAGTGATCTCAGTACTCAGTATCGATCGACGGTTAAACATACCATCCACATAAAGGCCCTGTGGTTTGAGTATTTTTAGATGAAAATTTATGTGTGTGCTTTTGGCGGCTTAAGCAAGCAGTGTGCTAACACAAACAGATATGTTTCTCTCGGTAAAGAAGCATTTTAAAGGATGGAATGATAAAGAACATTCTTAGAACGTTACTTCTTTTTTGGGAAACCATTCCCTGTGGGATGCTGCCATCTGATCGCCATTCCCAGTGGGAACAATGCATGTTTCCAAAGGGAAACAACCTTGGACTGTGGCTTTTACACATCATACTCAGGAATTTTGCATCCCCAATTACGAAAATAGTGAATTTCCAAAGACAATGCATTGCTTTCCATAAAATTGTGTTTGAATAGGAATAGTGTTCCAAATTTGTGGACATTCCCCTAACACACACCTTCCCCTGGTCACAGGCATCTATCTTTTATTCCCGCTGTACAAGGCAATGCAGGTGTACAACTCAACAGATTAAGCAATTTGTGTTGGCTTAACAGCAATTAAGGCGTATCGAAATAGTTCTCCAAGCAGAACCGAGAAGAGTGCTGCAGTATAAAGCCATGGTGAAGGTGGATCCGTTTGATGCATATGTTACTTAGACAGCTAGTGACTCTCTGCCTTTCTGTTGTCACTCATAGTCCTCCATCAAGTTCACCAATGAGCCCCCTCAGGGCGTCAAGGCGGGACTGATGCGCACCTTTGCCGCCATCACCCAGGACCAGCTAGACATCACCAATCAGCCACAGTGGAAGCCCATGCTGTATGCCGTGGCTTTCCTCCACACCACCGTGCAGGTAACTCGGTCCCACAGTCACTCAAAAACTTGGTGTCAGTTCACTGGAGTTTCTTTGCCAGAAGTTAACGGTGAAAGTAGAGGCATTGGCCTTGAAAAGCAACGTCTTTTACAGTGCTGAAATATGGCTCTGCGCAAGTCCCTACTACCCAAGTTGCCGCCCAAGGAAGTTAGGGGCTTTAAAAGCAATTGACTTTTATCATCGTTTGCTAAGCATTATCCAATCACCATGTCTGTTGAATGTCATGTGATAGTTCAAACCTCGGACAAACAACATGAATTCTGGACACGCGTAATCCATCGGCTTATGTGCACATCCGGCGTGCTCACTAGAGGTGGCAGCAAATCATTTTTTGCAAGTTCAAGTCGTGTCACAAGTCAAAGCTGGTATTTACAAGTCAAGTCACAAAAATAGCGACTCGAGTCCGACTCGAGTCCAAGTCACATGACTCGAGTCAGCAACTCTGGTGCTCACTGAATCACGGTACGCAAACCTGGTCAAGAAGATGCGCTGCGTGCAAACATGCTTGGTCGTAACTCCTCCTCATCGTGTGATTCATCTTCAGGCATATGCATGCACCTGCAATCCATTGTATCATGTACACCGCGAGAAAGATGTCAGAAATCTGAGACGACTGTGGATCCATGCCGTACATTCATACAGCAAACGCTGTGAGAACGTGTGTGCAATACACTGTTACATGCATACGCTACTGGCACGTGTCACACACTCGACACACCTGTTCACCTGTTCCAGGTTGTCTTGAGGGGGGCTGACTCGCAAACAGCGATAGGCCAGTTGGCATAAATTCACAGAAAGATCCTACTTCAACTTGTCTGTTATCTCAGACTTGAAGTTACCGTTGAAGTGTCCATTTAGTGTCAGATCTCGCATTAAACATGATCCAAAAATGTTCTTTAGCAATACCAAGAACAGGCAGAAGTGGTTGCCTTCAATATCAGGGCAATCAGGAGCATTTTGGAGATTTAGGGATCTATGTTTAACCATAACCCCTGGCAGTTTAAATTCCAAGACCTGTTTCAAAGAGGAATTATCATGGAAGGTGAACGTTGATCACGGTAAATCTTTTTGGAAACTAGTTTCATGCATTGTGTGTGGCTTTTGTAATTCAAATTCAGTACAGAGTACAAAAAAAAAATTGTAGCAATTTTCCTGCTAACAGGAGCGTCGTAAGTTTGGTCCTCTGGGCTGGAACATTCCTTATGAGTTCAACTCAGCTGATCAAACAGCCAGTGTGCAGTTCATCCAGAACCATCTAGATGACATGGATCCAAAGAAGGTAGGGAGAACAGTTCACCATCATTTTCAGGAAGGGGCAGGCATGAGATCATCACAAGAGAAGTACCTATTCCGTTAAAACTAAGAGAAGCAAAGCTCTTCAACAATGTTCTGAAATTAATCAGGACAGTACGATTCTTTGAGAGCTGAAGTTGTCCACCCTGTCGTGTTTGCATCCCTTTGCGAAAATGCATAGAGCAGTTATTGAAATGTTGGCCTCTCACTTTGTCAATGTAACGAAGATATATTAATGACGTTTTGCCCAAGGATGCAAGTATGAATGGTTGAAAGCAGTATTTTTAAGCAAATGATCTGATAAAAAAAATGAAATCCCACCCTGAAAAGTCAAATTTGACATGCTGTCCCTTCGTGAACACTGTGTTGAAATGTGACTTGTAATTTTGTTGAAGTATTTGGTTGGTGTTTAGTCTTTCAAAATTACGTTGCCTGTTTCTCCAGACCGGAAAGGATGAAATGGCCTGGCTTGGAAGGAGCCACTGAAGTACATTTCCTTTGCCCTTGGAATGTGTACACATTTCAAAATTTAAGATTTTACGAGATATTTATACTGAAGAAAGAGGGAATTTGAACAATGTCTTCGTTGAAAGCAATGCATTCGACACTGCTCAGATACAAGTGATGGCATGCTTTTGCCTTGCATTGACAGTCCTTTGATGGGACCTTGCTGTGAGGTTGCAGAGGTTGATGCACATGTGGTGCAGGACATACTGGTCACGCACGACCAATTTGCGCTGGGCGTCCAAATGACACAATTTCAACCAACCTGTCTTGTCTTTGCCGGTGAGGGGGTGCTTCAAGTAGGGGCAGGTATATGTGTATGTTATGTGTAAAGAAGTCAATCTGCCTTGGTGCAGAAGCACCCACCCATCATTGAAAAGAGTCATGTTGGTGGTGATTGTTCATTTTGTCAGTGGCATTAATGCGACTGTCTCGTGAAGCAGCCAAGGGCAGTTCCCACTGAAGGAGTCTCCATTGATGGAAAAGCTGCGCCCTCTCTTGGTCCGGCTCGGGGCTCATTGGATGTGATTAATTCCCCTCGTCCTGTATCCACCTTGAGCCGAAGCACCGCCTTATCACCTGATAGAGCCATGTTGGTGGGAGTGTTCAATTCAGGCTTGCGATGCGACTGCACCACTTGTGTTTCACAGTTACCACCAAACAAGCCTCCGTTATTAGGAAAATTGTGCCATCTCTCTGGCAAGCTCGGGGCTCATACACCTTGACAAAGGGGCCAAGGTCAAATATCATGGCAGTGCTTACCACAGAGTTCCATGCGTACAATTTCCATTCTGCGCTAACCCCACTAGCAGAAAAATTCTGCGCTGACCGTTCAAGCACAGAATCCTTATTTACAGGGGATGTACACATGCACACAAGCCAAAAAACCTCGTTCGTCGTATGCACAGAATTTTCTGCTACGGTGAGCAGCGATTTTTCGCTTGCGGTAAGTGGTGTCATGAAATTTGGCCCAGATCATTTGGGCGAGTATGAAATCCCTTCTCTCCGTTTTGTTCAGGGAGTCTCATGGAACACAGTCCGCTACATGCTTGGGGAGGTGCAGTACGGAGGAAGGGTCACTGATGACTACGACAAACGTCTTCTCAATACATTTGCTAAGGTATGTACAGCCTGTGTGGAAGTTCCTTGGAATGCGCTTGGAATTCAAGACTGGAAGTACGAGAATTGGCTGAATGACAACCAATGACTGAGCCTCATTTTTCACACCATGACTATGTGCCATCCATTCCTCAACAAAAGTGCTATACCAGAAAGGTGGCTACCATGCACAGCCTCTAGAACTCGCAAGAGTCAGCTTCATAACTGACATCTCTTTAACCTTTATGCAGTAGGTTGTAACAGCACTGTCATTGTCACAATAGGTGTGGTTTGGAGAGCACATGTTTGCCGACACCTTTAAGTTCTACACCGGCTACACCATCCCCAAGTGTAAGACGGTGCAGGAGTACCACGAGTTCATTGACAAGCTGCCACTGACTGACACGCCGGAGGTCTTTGGACTGCACCCCAATGCAGACATCACGTAAGTCACTCATCGTGCTTGCGTGGTAATAGTTATTTACCCGTGTTATGAACTAGGAACCTGGATTTAGTAACTAGCGTAATGAGCTTAGTTACTTTGCTGCTTCCATGCCCTCGTCTCTGCTAAAGTAGCCTGATTAAGGCGTGTTTATGGTCATCATAAATTTGAATCTGAAGTCATGAAGCAATCACTATGAGCAGAGCTTTGTATAGAGAGAGTATGGCCAACTTCAGACATCGGAACCAAAATGGCTGTTCATTAGGTGTGCAGTACAGCTTGCAGCTATTGTCCATGCACACTGATGCATAATACACCATTTTGGTTCCAACAATCGAGACATTCATGTCGCAATGCTCTCTAAACAGCTCTTTCGAGGAGTTTTGTCAATGTTGTAATGTGTTTGCCTTTTACGAACCCCCGAGTTGCAAAACTTATTTTGACACGCAGCTCCATGTTTGCACGAAGTGGTTGCTGAATAATAAGAAGAAATGATTCGATGTCTACCTAAATTGTATAAAAAAAGATGACAGTTGTACAGAAAGGTATCAATGCACAAGGCTCATTTCCTCATACACGGCTTCTGTGGATTTTGAGTCACTGCTGCGGATAAGTGCACATCCCTGGTAGATCTCTCCACAAACTACCAAGTATAGGAAGCACAATATTAGCACACTCGGTAGCTGCAAAGAACTCACTAGCTGGCTGCGCCTATTTTCCATGGACAGGTGCGTCACTGTCAAACAAAGCCAAGATTTTCTTGGGGAGGCAGCCGAGTCTCCTGCTACCAGGCTCATTGTGTATTGTTTGGCCAAATCCATTCGCGATCTCGCAGGTATCAGAGCAACACTGGCATCGAGGTGCTCAACACCATCCTGAACATCCAGCCCAAGGACGTCGGGGGAGGCGGGGGTGAGACCAGAGAGGCCACCGTCTTCAGGATGGCCGAAGATATGCTGAGTAAATTGCCCCCGGACTACGTGCCGCATGAGGTATACCTGCCGAAGGCTGCGTCCGAATCTCTTGTCTGGAGCTAGGTCTAGGTCTTTGCTCCATTGAAAATGAGTGGAGATGTGCAGACAATACACCTAGCCGTAGCTCTGGAAGCCTGTTTCGGACACGGCCTCAGTGTCATGCTGAAATGGATGGAGTGCCGCAATAAAGTCTCTTTAACCCTTAAAAGGCCAGGTCTCAATTAAAGTCAGTTAAATTAATTGGGGCTGAATATTTGAATGTATCATTAGGATCGCTACCATCTCCCTGTGTTCCTAACATCAGCTGCCCAGACTCGTCAATTTGTGAGATGTGGGCCTGTGAAATGTGGAGCAGATTCCATAATGAGGCCTGAGCGGTACCAAGAGAGAGAGCGGTTCGCCTTGCATTGGACGCTCCTTTGGTGGGAACTGTAATTGGCCGTTTCCCAAGCGACTTTGAAAGGCATGCATTTTGGTTGCATGACTACTAAATGAACACTGCCCACCAACATGGCTCTTTTCAACCAATGAGGGGGTGCTTCTGCTCAAGGCGGAGAAGAGGGCATGTGTATGTTAGCTTAGGAAAGCTGTCAGCATTTCTTATCCTGTTCAACACTTTTGACTTTCCTTCACTGGATAATTTCAGTTAATATTCCCGCTTCACCTGAAATATTGCCATTTCCGTTAATTGAAATTTCCCACCTGTCATGATCATTCTTCTCAAGTAATGCTCCCGAAAACAAGTGGAAATGAATTCTGAAATGCTTTGCCATCAACTGACCGTCAGCTCACTGCCATTGCGACTTGCAGGTGCGAGCGCGTCTGGTCAAGATGGGCGCCCTGTCCTCCATGAACATCTTCCTGCGTCAGGAGATTGACCGTATGCAGCGCATCATCAGCCTGGTCCGCTCCACACTGACCGATCTCAAGCTGGCCATCGAGGGAACCATCATCATGAGTGAGGTGGGTGTGTCGGTGTGAGGCACTATGCTCTGATCAATTGAGCCTCCCCCATGGCATTCCAACCAATCGCAGCTGTGATTAAAGTTTAGGGCCTCAATGGAAAAAGTTTTGTAACGTTTTTTTGCATTATCCCTGCTTTTCCCAGTGACTGGTTTTTCTCTTTCTCTCAACAGTCTAGCCGTCTGTGTTCCACCGCTGTCTGTATCTGCGTCTGTTTGTATTGTGAAAAAGAGAGTAAATCAAATCAAAATCCAATATGCGTGCACAGAGGTCCTAAAGATTCAGGGTGTCCTACATTTTACCACTTTTGTGGTAAATCAAATCTGCCAGAATTAACATAGTCATACCGTTGGGGAGAGAAATCGATGATGCCTTGTTGAAAGCCCGGCCATTAAATGCCCAGCATTTTATTGGTGTCATCATTGCTACCCCTCTGGCATGTCTGGATGTTTTGTAAATTTCTCCCAGGGCTGGGTTAATGTTGTGTAGGCCCCTAGCCACCAGTGTTCTGCAGGCTCTCTACAACTATAGGCATATAATTACAAGCATCAACTTTATGGTGCTGGCATAAGGTACTGATGAAGCTTCGCATTCCGTGTTGATGCCAAGCTGGAGTAAGCCATAAACTATCTAAATTCTATTCCTGTCATTCCTGTGGTAATTTGTGTGGTAACAAGCAGGCCTTTAACCACTTCCTGCTGGGGCAGTTATCAAAGATGATGATGCTGGGCCGGGATGTTTATCTTTTTTTTCTGTTTTCAACATTCTGTAAAAATTCCTATCTTCATTTACTGGACACTTACAAACACGTGAAGGACTGTCTGGTGTCCGCTCTAGCCTGACAGACAAAAATCTATTGACACCTGAGTATTTCAGCCAGGCCTGCAGCCTTGTAAAAAGAGCCCAGATTGTGCGATGTTATATATCTTTCTTTTGTTCACGAACCTGGCTCAGTGTGCTGCTGACATCTTTTCAATAGGGGCCAGATTTGCATGCAGCGGTGCTGTGTGGCTCATCGCTGCGGTGGAGCACTTTTGTCCCCATTGGTAATCCGCTTGCTCTAAACGCCTGAAACCGTGGTATACTGTTTCAAAACAAGGCTGGATTATCTCCACTTTTGAGAGTGAAAAATGTTGGTAATGCCCAGCAGCCTGGTCTTTTGTTCGGAG